TTGCGTATAAGAAGAGGTCTCTCTATGAATTTTGATGACGAAAGCTATGAACTAAACAACACGAGGCAACGAACTCTGTCTAGATCAACGAATCAAATCACCATCGATTCTCGCGAAACAAATTTTAGAATAAAATAGTAAAAAAACGAAAACTTTATTGATGCAAAATCAAACCCAAATTTAATAAAAACTGATTTCGAAAAACGCGTTGCGTGAATCTCGATGAAACCCTAAAACCCAGAATCAAAAACACAACATCGATGTAAATTTTCTCTTTGGTAATATGAGAGAGAGAGAAAGAGTTGACATTTAAGAAGCTGACCTGAGGGAGTTGACGAAAGAGAGGATTTGGGAGGAAGATTTTCAGAGAGAATCGTTCGAGCAGAGAGCCACCATTAATGGTATGTATCTGCAGCTCTCAGAATCGGCTGCGTGTAGAATTTGTGATGATCAGAAATCAGAAACGTTTGTTCAGTCCCTTCGCACGCATTCCCGTGTTTTACGTGCGATTTTACGTTTTTACTCTCTTTTTTTTCCCATTCCTCTAATCAATAAATGAATTCCAATTATTTAGTCAGGAAAAACAAAATAAAAATTAACGATTTTCAATTTTAAATGTAAAAAAATACTAGGAATGAAATAATTTAAATTTTTATTTGGGAAAATCGTATAAAAATGAAGAAAATATCTCAACTAAAAAAACATTAGCTCCTAAGAAATATATAAAGAGTAACTGTTAAAAAAATTCTTATAATATTCAAAGTATCAAACGTGTTGGTTTTACACCCGCAGTTTAACAGCCGGTAAATATACGAGGACTGAAAAAAATTACCATAAAATCATTATCAGAGTAGATAGGCACAAGCACAAACGGAACAATTTTAATTTTTGTCACTAAATTTGCATAATACTAACATAATTGTTTAACATAGATTGACTTCTTCTGAAATTGTTTGATTGATAAAGAGTATTTTTTATAAGTCATATTTTACATGTTATTAGTAAGAAGTCTTAGAACCATTGATTTTAACAGAATTATCTCTATACATCAACTTTTGAATGATTTGATTCATTGTTATATGTTTTCATTGAGAGTCTTTTTTTTAGAGAAAGAAGTGTGTATGTGGCTGTGACTATGTGTATGTGTGAGTTTGACAATAAAAAGTGGAGACAATTGTAATGGTTTAACATTATTCTCCATACAATCTAACTTTAAACATTATTGTATCTTTTCCCAATCATGACAGAACAAAAGTTTTTGTATCCAAACTCTTAGATGCAAAAGATATGCATCATAACAGCCATTAAAGCAAAAGCTTTGATGATTCTCTCTTCAACATACAGTACAAAGGACTGGCTTATAATACAATGGCTTATATATAAACCAATCGATTTCACTCTAACCGAGCCAAAGCTCATTTGGTCTTTTTATCGAGTTTCTTCTTGGTTTCGCCGCTGTAAGGGCCAACGTGATAAGCATGCTTCTGTACCGCAGCAAAGATAACCATCTCAAGACATACCAACACATTCTGAATAGCTTCTTGGATTTGTTCTACCTCTAACCAGAAATGGTGAGATTTGATTACTCCCATACCCACCAGCATCTCTAATACTATTCCCTGCAGTTTCAGAATCAAAAGACTCTAATGAATACTCTCTGTCAATGACTTATGAATGGAAAGAACAGTTTCAAAAATTTGTTCTGTTGCATTTACCTGCCAAAAGCAAAAGAAGACGATTCCTTTGATGCAGAGGAACTTTGCGAGTGGATTATGAGGCGCAAGCTCTTTAGCAAACACATGGTAGAAAACCACAAGAGAATACAACGCAAGAGAAACCGAGCAATTGAGAACGATAGTGAATGTCCAGCTCAACCAAGAAGGATAGAACCCGATGAGTTGTAAAGCTATCATCAAAAGAGAGCACAAGGGTCGAATAACCACAAATTGCCATGTCCAGTATTTCAAAAGTCTAAGAGTGCGCTGATCCAGATGGACTACATGAGGCTGTCAGAACAATAAAACACAAAGCTTATTAAGAGTAGATGCAATAGATATACAAGAAACCATAAAAAGATAGAGACAAACCTGGAAAAGAGTCATTGGGAAAGAATGGTGAATCTCTCTTCCTTTGATTCCATCAGGCACAATGTTTTTGCTGATAGATATGTTCAGGAAACTATACATCAATGCCAAAAACTTCGCAATGACCTGCACAAAAAAGATTGAGAATTTCGTAAGCATCTCTCTCTACATGATGTTGAAGATTAACCAAAAGAAATAAGCGATAAAAAGATACTCACGAGGGCTTCGTAGCATTCTTTGATGGATTCTAGAAACAGGAAGAAGATTTCACCTCCTTTGACATAATACAAACCGATAAAGGAAACAATGGCATAGATTGGAGCCATAAGAACAATGATAAGTATTGCCTTTTGTTCCTTAGGGTTCTTCCAATGAAACAGATGCTGCGATACTAGCTGTATCGTAAAATAAAGTGTGAGCAGCACAGAAAATGCTGAGGCATAAAAAGTGATCAGTGGAGGTTTCAGGTTCATTAGAGATTCCATCATTGTTTTCCTGCAACCAAAACCCTGCATCATAATGTTCACAAGCTCTTTAGCATCAAGAAGAAACCCACCAAGTTTGCATCTGAATCTTCACAAAAGTTTCAACTTTATGTTCATATAATTAGCCCCACATCAAAATTCATACACCCAAAAGTGCTTATCTTATAGCAATTTCTTTTCTATTTTCGAATCTAACAACAAATTGCATCACTTGCACAATAAAAAAAAAAAAGTATCATTTCATGAGATCGCTCTGTATCTAGCCGATTAAAAAGAAAAACTCAAACTTTGAATTGATTGGAATTGAGAATCGATGAAACTCCTAAACCCAATCAGACCCATTGAATTAAAGAGACCAAGTTTCGTTTTTTTCTATATTCGAAGACTGATTCAAAGCTAAAGAAACAAATGCGATCTCTGCAAATCTGAACAAAGCCAAAACATAAGATCTAACCAGTGAGAGAGAGAAAGAGGACTTACCTAGAGAAGAATTACAGAAGAAACGAAGAAGAGAGAGTGAGAGTTTTGAGTAGAAAGATCTCAGATCTTTATTAGATCATGAAGAATTGAGGGAGTACAAAACCGACATTAATGGAGTCATGGGTCCTTGTAATCAAATAATTTGGGTATTATATAGCGACGCGTTTACCACGTGAGTCGCTACGATTGCATAATAAACAAGTCGGCAATGATCTACATGTGGCTCTCTGATTCGCTCACACGGTTTTGGATTGGTTAGAGAAAGAAAAGTCTCAATTTAAACTACCCAAGTCGGTATGATTTGATATGGTCCAAAAGTTAATGGAAATCCTTTATAAACTTTTGGCAGTTAGGAATTTGGATAGTGTTCATGAAATTGATGATGATAGTGAATGTTGAATAGTGATGATTGTAATACAGAGTTTTTTGTTTGGTATACCAACTTTAAACGAAGCAAGTAATGGTTACTTTTGCGATTATGAAATGGTAGTAGAAAATACATTGCAGGAAAAGATAGCGGTTTAAATTGGTTTTTTTTTTTTTTTCCAATATCAAATGACGATATATCGTAATGATTTTAA